ATATATATATATATATATGTATGTATGTATGTGTGTATATTATTACTTTTTACTTGTATACAATGATGTCCTTTAAGTGACGGAACACATAAGTCCTTAGGGACTTAAATACAATAGAAAAGAATATAAACTTCAATATCCACAACACTTCCTCTCAAGTTGGATCATAGATATCCCTCATGCCCAGCTTGCTTATGATCCCCCGTAGTCGAGGTTTCACCTTGGTAAGAATATTTGTTAGCTAGTTTTTGGTTTTCACATATGGAAAGCAAATTTCTTGGCAGTAACTCTTTCTTAACTGAAATATTTGTCTATATGCTTGGTTCTTTAATGCTGACCAGGTTGTGAGCTATACTAGTGGCTGCCTTGTTTTCATAGTACATGGACATTGACCCCTTTACAAGAAAACCAAGTTCTCGTAATATGATTTCTAACCAAAGCAATCGCACACAGCATGATCGATGGATTGGTACTTTGCTTTGGACTTGAATGAACTACAACTGATTGTTTTTTACTCCTCCAAGTCTCCTCCAAGTCACAAGGTTACCTCAACCAGAGTACAATAACCAGATGTAAATATCCAACACACAATGTAACCAACCTAATTTGCATTTATATAGGATCAACTTGTAAGTTTCCATGATTAGCAAGCAAACAGCAGTCCTCTACTAAGTGATGATTTTAAATATTGAATAACTCTCTAAGCAGCTTCAAGATGAGTAGTTCATGGAGCATGCATGAACCTTCTAATGACACCCATAGCATATGAAATGTCTAGATGTGTAAGTGAAAGATATATGAACTTGTCCACTAATCTTTGAAACATACCCACATTGTTAAGAGCTTCATCCTCTGGTTATCCAAGTTGTAGTTTTGTTCCATAGGAGTATCAGTAGACCTAAGTAGACCTAAGCTTTCTCATTTCCTTTAGAAAATTTATCACATAATTCCTTTGAAAGATAATCCCACAAAAATACTTCAATGGACCTAGATCTTTAATTTCAAATTCCCTTGTTAGAAAGCTCTTGAGTTGCTGAATTTCTTTGGGCAGCTATCTATAGTCTTCCACACATACAGTCGGGGTACTGTTACTGATTGTTAAGCCTCTCAAATCAAGCTCGGGGAGATTGCTTTGGTCAATAAATGGTCGAGTCATAGGACATGGGGATTCTTGATAGTGAATGGGGGCATTTCAGGGTGGTGGAGTGTCCCTATTCACAGGTGGTTGGAGTTGGACAAGACTATACTTGAATAATAGTTGTGGGGTCTTGCCCATTGGCTCCTTTGTAGGTGTAAATTTCAAATGGAGGGTCCCTAGTCACTAGTAATTGGGCTTATCTTTGATTTCAAATGGAGGGTCCCTAGTTGCAGGTGGTTGGAGAACCTTATACTTGATGTGGCTCCTCTAAAGGTGTAAATTTGTTGGGTGAGCCGTATCCATGCGCCTTGAATATGATGATTCATTGCCCATGTCCTAAGGTCATTTTGTATGAGACTCCGATTTGGATTGTAAACTTGGCTTGTTGATCCTTATTTCATTGATTTAACCACTAGGCAAAGATGTGTTCTTGTGTTTATGTGTGGGTTAGCTTGTGCTTGACTTTCCAAGGGCCGATCGCTAGTCGAATGCCTTTCATAGAGTAAGACTCTTTCTATTATCAAGTCAATGGATGTGACTGAAGAAAAGTTCATATCTGGGGTGGCATTCTCTAATATTAAGGCAATCTTCACTTGATCGATGAGTGGGAACTCAGTGACTTGCAAAGTGACATTCTTAAATCTTTTGACAAAGTCAAGGAATAACTCACTGATTTTCTTCCGTTTGGTAGTGAATTCCCCTAGTGAGATAGGTCATGGCTTACTCTTGTTATAATGGGTAACGAACTTGTGGAACATTTAATCACATGATGCTTGAGGTTTATCCCATAGTTACCGGGAATGCCCATGTAGGGGTTCGCTTCCGCTTTGGAATCTCGATCCCGCTCTCCGAGTGACCGGATCTCGATTCTAGACGCTTCCTTGCATATTTGGATCTCATACCCAGAGTTATGGGAACTCGATTCCTATTATTTGGGAACTCGTTCCCTAGCAAGTGGGATCCAGATCCACATGCCCAAGATCATGGCTGCAATTTCAGTTGGAAACACGATTCTATCGTACTAGGAATCGAGTATCCTATATCATGGGAGCGAGCTACACCTACAAAGTTTATTTTATTTGTATAAAATAAAATAAAATGTGGTCATAGCTTACCCTTTTTTCTCCCTCCCTCTCTCTCTCTCTCTCAAGAATGAACCCAACAAGTCATAACTACCATCTAAAACATTTAATGCAACCTGAGAATTGTGATTGTAGAATGATTTGTATAGACACCATCTAATTTTTGAAGGGCTTGATCTCTGTGTCATAAAACTCAAATTTCAAATTTTTCTTAAAAAAATATCATCTAGCAATTACTATATGGTTCCCAAAATTTTAACCTAAAACAATCAACCTAGTGTGGTGTATTGAGTCTTTTGACTAAGGGAGTAATGCACAATATGCTCGTGCATGAGCACAATACATGTGCTCAATCGTCGATTCCATACTTAGTCGAAATGGGAAATCTAGCCCATCCTTGAGTGTCATATAGACGTGAGAAGGGTAAATCTTGCCCAGCATTGATGCCAGTTTAGAGAAGGGTATATTATAATTAAGGTGTAGTGGTGCACTGTATACCACAATAATTTTGTTTACTGAATTTGGTGTGAAATCATGCTCCAATGCCTCACAATAAGGTTTTTCAGTGAATTCAATATGAAATCAGGCTCCAACCCAATGCTGTTGTTTGCTGAATTCGATATGAAATCATGCTCCAATGACATCAAAAATTCGAAGGAAATCTCAATGCCAAGATTTTTATTACATTGATTCCTTGGAATTGTGGATCTGGAAACATGCTATCTAATGGAAATCGCTCCCAGTTTACAATATACAGAAATAGTGAACTTCGAAAACCCCGTTCTAAGAATGGCACAATGCGATCCCTTTTGGTAGGGAACCCGCTCTTGTCTAGATAGCAATGCTCTCCCTAGAAGTCGTGGAACTCGCTCCCATCCCCAAGCCATGCACGGAGCTCGCTCCGCCGCCCATGGAACTTCAAGCTAGACTCGCTCTGGTATC